TACTGTCTTGATGTGACCAGAACATAATACTACGAAAATACTAAACGATGGTATTGAACCAAGATGAACCATTTCAAATGCCAGATTCTGTAACGTCACTTTAATTGTACATGTCTTCTTAAACTCACTCCAAAATTAAGGACTTTTAGAGTAATAGTGCTTAATTACATGTGCCTTTAGGTAAAATTGACAAAAATCACGCTATACTTGTAGATCTCGTACATTTACACATGATTTGAAGGAATAATGACATCTGACATGAATTGGGTAAATAGGCATACCTTGGAGATATTACAGGTTTGGTTCCAGACCACCACAATAAAGCTAGTCATAAATTTTTTCTGGCTTCCCAGTGCATATAAAAGATATGTTTATAATACACAATAGTCTATTAAGTATGCAAAAGCATTATTTTTACAAAACAATGTACATAGTAGAATTAATTTTAAATATTCTATTGCTAAAATATACTAACAATCACCTGAACCTTTAGTGAGTTGTAATCTTTTTGCTGGTGGAGGGTCTTGCCACAATGTTAATGTCTGCTGGCAATTTGTTAAAATAAGACAACAAATAAGAATTGACCCTTTCTTTTACAAAAGACTTCTCTGTAGCATGCAATGCTATTTGATAGCATTTTACCCACAATAGAACTTCTTTCAAAATTGGAGTCCATCCTTTCAAATCCTACTGCTGCTTTGTCAACTAAGTTTATGGAATATTTTAAATTATTTGTTGTCATTTCAACAGTGTTACAGAATCTTCACTAGAAGTACATTCCATCTGAAGCAACCCCTTTCTTTGCTCAGTCATGAGAAGCAACTCCTCATTTGTTCAAGTTTAATCCTGAGATTGTAGCAATTCAGTCACCCCTAGGCTCTACTTCTAATTCTAGATCTCTTGCTGTTTTCTCCACCTCTGCCATCATTTCCTCCACTGAAGTCTTGAACCTCTCACTCACCCGTGGGGGTTGAAATATACTTCTTCCAAACTCCTGCCAGTATTTTGATCTCCTTCCATGAATCATAAATGTTCTTAATGGCATCTAGAATGATGACTCCTTTAAGAAACTTTTCAATTTACTTTGCCTAGACTCATCAGAGGAATTACTATCTATGGCAGCTATAGCTTTGCAAAATGTATTTCTTAAATAATAAGATTTGAAAGTCAAAATTACTCTAGGGTCCATGGACTTTAGAATTGTTGCCACAGCCATAAAAACAACATTAATCATCTTGTACCTCTCCATCAGAGCTCTTGGGTGACTAGGTGCATTGTCAGTGAACAGTACTTTTTGAAATAAATCTTTTTTTCCTGAGCTGTGGGTCTCAACAGTGGGCTTCAGATAATTCAGTTAACCATATTGTAAATAAATGTTGTCATCCAGCCTTTGTTGTTCCATTGATAGAGCACAGGCAAAGTAGATTTGCATAATTCTTACCATTCCTGGGATTTTCAGGTTTGCTAGTGAGCATTGGCTTCAACTTGGACTTGCTAGCTATATTAACCCCTAAACAGGCGAGTCATTCTGTCCTTGGAAGCTTTGAATCCTGGCATTGACTTCTCTCTAACCATGAAAGTCCTAGATGGTATTTTCTTTCAATAGAAGACTATCTTCTCTACCCTGAAATGTCTTATCTACATTGTTTATTGTAGCCACCTTCATCAGTGATCTTAGCTAGATCTTCAGGATAACTTTCTGCAGCTTTTCCATCAGCACTTGCTGCTTCACCTTGTACTTTTATGTTATGGAGAGTACTCATTTCCTTAAACCAAGCTCTGCTAGCTTCCACCTTTTCTTCAGCTTGCTTACTTCTCTCAGCCTTCATAGAATTGAAGAGAGTTAGAATCTTACTCTGGATTAGACTTTGGCTTAAGGGAATGTTGTGACTGGTTTGGTATTCTATCCAGACCACTAAAACTTTCTCCATATCAGCAATAAGACTGTTTCACTTTCTTAACATTCATATGCTCATTGGAGTAGCACCTCTCATTTCCTTCAAGAACTATTCTTTTGCATTCATAACTTGACCAATTCTTTGTTCTAAGAGGACTAACTTTCGGCCTATCTTGGATTTTTTTTCTTTTACTTTTTAAAAATTTATTGTAGAGATGAGGTCTCGCCAAGTTTACTGGGCTGGTCTCGAACCTGCGGGCTCAGGTAATCCACTGACATCGGCCACCCAAAGTGTTGGAATTACAGGCTGAGCCATCGAGCCCGGCCTGGATTTTGACATACCTTCTTCACTAAGCTTAATTATTTCTAGTTTTTGATTTAAAGAGAGAGACCTGTGACTTTTCCTTTCACTTGAACACTTAGAGGTCATCGCAGAGTTACTAATTGGCCTAATTTCAATATTGTTGTATCTTAGGGAATAGAAAGGCCTGAAGAGAGGGAGAGAGATGGGGGAATGGCTGGCTGGTAGAGCAGTTCAAACACACATACCAATTATCAGTTTGCTGTCTTACATGAGTGTGATTCATGATGTCTCAAAACAATAATAACATCAAATACCACGGATCATATCATCAAAATAGATATATCAAATATGAAAAAGTTTGAAATATTGTGAGAATTATCAAAATGTGACACAGAGACATGAAGTGAGCATGTACTATTGGAAAACTGGCACTGATAGACTTTCTTGATGCAGGGTTGCCACAAATCTTCAACTGGTAAAAAATGCAATACCTAAGAAGCACAATAAAGCAAACAGAAATGAGTTATGCTTGTACCTGATTATGCCTCACTTATAAAAATTATAAAGAACTGGAGAAACATTTTCAATGCTAACAGAATGTTTGTATTTAAATGCTTTGGTATGTATTTGAGGTTTTCTCTGAGAGTGGAACAATCTAACCAGCCAATTGGTCAGACTCTAGCATATTTTATCTGGAATCCATCCAATCAGAAAATGGAAATAACTGGGAGCATTTTCTTCCAGTCTCTATGAGGTGATTGATGTTTGTAAAGATGACTGAGAACATTATACGTAGCAGAGTGGTTTTATATCACGAAAGAAAGATTAAAAGATGTTCAGTATGACATAATGTGTTTCTTTTACCACTTCGCATCCGAGTCCTATCATGGTTCCGGGCGACTGACTTACCAATGCTCTTTCTCATGGCTCGTGACCTTTTCACCTCCACCCTATTTTTTACTTGCCTTTGTGGCCACATCCTAGACTTTGTCATCTACTGGAATAGTTTCTCCTATGGTAAAATCAGAGTTTAGCCATCCCTCTCTGACCACAGCTTTTCACTTCCTTTTCTTGGGAAGTATCAGTACTCCAGGCTGGTGCTGCCTCTGGGCTTTCTCTTCTTTCTACCCTCCCTTTCTTTTCTAATCCCTCAGCCTACATTGTCCATGACTTGGACAATATCCTCTGCTCCTTCTGTCCCCACTGTTTTTCTGGCACACTCGCCTGGAAATCCTGCAACCTGCAGCAAGCCAGCTGCCCGCTTCTCCAAACACACATTTGGGCTGCTGAGGGCTGCAGGAGAAAATCCCACAGTGATTCAGCCCCATGCCACCAAAAATTCATGACCTTCACTCTCAGCTGGACTCTTAACAGTCCTGGAAAGTTCTTTTTTATTTCTCAAGCTGCATTTCTTTCTTTATTTCCCAACTTTACCCTCCCTGCAACTCCTCCCACCCCCAGGGATTTGTTTACAGTGTCTATCTAATCATCTCATCCTCCCCTGTTTATAGTCTTTCAAGACTCCTCATTGCCTTGAGAATAAGATCCATACATTTTAATTTGGTCTGTAAGACTCACCATGACCTAGTTCCTGCTTAGCTCCCCAGATTTCTCTGTTACCCCATTCTATATCACACTATATTTGCTAACTATCTTGAACTATATTGAGTTTCTGGTAAGCAAAAGCTTTCTCATCTCCAGGGATTTGCTATCCCTTTATCTGAAGCACTTTTTTAGCCCCTGGCTCACACTTCTTCCTCCTGTGCTTCACCTGATTATCTTTTTTTTTTTTTTATCCTCCTTAAGGTCTTAGCATAGATATATTATACACCAAAGAGCATTTCTAAACTCTCCAGTTTCCATCCTTTCTCCTCACCAGAAAGTAAGCTAAATACCCCTCTTGGCCCTCCTTTCTACCTTGTACTTCCCATATTGCCTGTTTATTTGTCTGCTTCTCATACTAGACTGCTGACTTTTTGAGGGCAGGGGGACATCTGTTTTTGATCATGGTTGTATGCTTAATACCTAGTAATGGCACTTGTAGATCTTTTGTAAAGATTGAGTGAATTAATAAAAATGATTGCTATGTGGTAACTAGGGCCAGCATCAGTTGACATTTATTGAACTTTACCATGCAGCAGGGATTGTTCTAATAATGTTAAAGGTAATTTTTTTCTTTCTTCCTCACAGTAACCTTATGGGATAGCATCTCTTGTCTTGTTAGTTCTATGACTAGTGAAACTTTGGGGTGGTTGACTGCACTTCTAACTACTATTCCGTTCTGCTGCTGCATGTGTGGGCAGGAACTTTGTTATGTTCTGAGGAGGAAGATAGGGATTAGAAGGAGCTATACATGTTCTCTGCCCCTGAAGAATCATAGCCTAGGGGAAAAGATAGTAAAAGAAACAAATAGTCCAATAAGAAATAGATAGACAATTTCTTGAACATTGTACAGGGCACTGTGGAAGGACCTAAGAGACTTTTACTTTAATTCTTTGAAAAATAGTAATTTATATTTGGTGTATACATATGTATATTTTAAAAATTGAACATTATAATACAGTAGCATGGAGACTATATTGCAGAACAACTTTCACTTACAAAGGAAAGTTAAAGGAATTTATTGTTAAGTTTCTATAGGTTTCTAGCTTCCTGGTGCTCAAATAATGAAAACTGTATTTACTAAAATTGAAGTGACATTTGTCTTTGTTTTAAAAAAAAGAATGTGACAAAATATATTTTAACATGCAGTTTAAAAAACATGGTTTGTGAAAGTTGTTATTGTTGTTGATCTTACAGGAGAATCATGAAAAAAGTCTCCATGGAGCCATCTGAGCGCCTGGCTAGTCTCCAGGCTCTGTGGGACAGCCAGACCCTGGCTGAGCAGGGCCCCTGCGGTGAGCATGCATTTTAAAACCGAAATGTAAATGGCTGGATGAATATCTTCCTGCCAGGAAGTTAAGTCTATTCCTAGTGTGCTACTGTAAAGGTACAATTAGTTTTAAGGTGTAATTAGCAGCGCACAGACTTTATATTGGTGGGCAAAAGTCCTATATTTAAGCTGTATTGCATCCTGCTGTGTACTTACTATAGAACAGGGAGGAGAATCTTTTCTGTTTTCCCCCCCAAAAGGAAAAGGATAATCAACATTGTCAACACCGGCCATATTTAAGCTTTAAAATTTTAATTTAAAGATCATTTTGCCGAAAACTTGTCAACGTTGTATATTTCAGGTGGATTTTCTCAGATGTATGCCTGTGTTTGTGACTGGCTTGGATTTTCATATAGGGAAGAAGTACAATGGGTAAGTATATCTGTGTACATGTGCATGAGTGCACGCACACAGACACACACTCATACTCTTGGAGCATATTCTAATATTTAGCTGGCTTCTTTTTCTTTTGTTTTTCATCTTTTATTTTTTTGCTTAAAATCACTGTTTCTCAGATTTCGTAAAAAACTGGCTTTGTTGTTTTCTAATTCTCTTCGTATCTTGCTTGCTTCCCTGGTTATTTTCATAGACTAATTGCATGACTGAATTATATTTTAAATAGGATGTGGATACAATTTATCTGACACAAGACACCAGGGAATTGAATTTACAAGACTTTAGTCATCTTGACCACAGGTAAGCCCCTTCCTTCCTTCCTTCCTTCCTTCCTTCCTTCCTTCCTTCCTTCCTTCCTTCCTTCCTTCCTTCCTTCCTTCCTTTTTCTTTTCTTTATTTCTATCTCTTTATTTCATTTTTTTATCTTTTCATAATTTCTTTTCAGAACTACAGTTCTCTGTTGTCACATAGAGCTGTATATTATCTTCAGAGAATCATTTTATAAGAGGAATTAGGAGAATCTAAGACTCTCTGGACTTTTCCTTTCACGTAATAGTTTCATATATGTTCATCACTGCAGGTGCTTATGGAGGTACATGTGTGTACCCCAAATCCAGAGTGTGTAGTTAGAAAATGTGCCAAATTTTACCATAGGAGCCATGTAATTCTTAGGTTCTTATATCAGTTTACAAAAGTCGATTTGCTCTACCCTGTACATAAAACGTAGTGTTATTTTACCTAATTGCCATTTAGAATATTTTTTTCTAGGGTGAAATTTTATACTGAAGTTCTAACAAGTGATTTTTAGTTCACAATTTCTTTGTGAATTGGGCATTGCTAGGGTATATGTGTATACTGGTGAAAGTCAGTTTGCCAATATCTGCTTTGTGATAGTGATAATAAAATCATGAAACCTGTTACAAGTTATTTGGGAGATTAGTCTTGTGATCTTTACTTGATTATATTTAATGCTACAGCTTCTGTGATCTAGACCCTAGAGCAAAGCTTCATTTGGTTCCCACATCTCTTAGAAGAGAGCAGATCTGGTCATTTATTTTGTTCTCTAACAAAGTCAAATCCTCGTCCCCTCCAGATTTTCTGGTAATTTACCCTGGCCTATCCCAATCTCTTCAACCTTGGTTATGCTGCTATTTACTATAGGTGGGCAGATATCAGCCCTACTGTGATGAACCCCAGCTCAATAAATCCTTCCTCCTGGTTTGGAATTGAGAGAGAAATCTGGGATGCCAACTGTATCTTTTGTGCCTTTTGGACAACCAGTATGTTACAGAGGATTGTTATTGCTTCATCTCAGCACCAGCATCTTGCCCTGAAAAATACCATTTCAAGTTATTTTTCCACCTACCTGACAGGAAATCCAGAATTGCAGTGAGGTCCCTGAAGAGTTCTAGCCTGCTGAACTGGGCAAGGAAAAAATATACTAGATGGATATACCTTCTCTTTGCACAGCCTGGGTCTGTGGAGGATGGGTGAAGCAGGCTTGGCCGTGTCTATAGTAGTGAATGGCGGACCTCAAGTCTCCAGTTCTCAGGGTTGGATTTGTTTCCTTTTGGGGGAGCAGACAATTTTCTCCTGCTTAGAGCTATTCTCGTTCTTCCTATGTATAAGGGAACTTCATATTCTCAAATTTAGGCAAGATGTTTCCTGTGTAGCTCATAAAAAAGTGAACTGAGAAAGAAAAAAGGAAAATATTTTACTTTGTAAGTATTTTTTAATAAAACAAGAAAATTGCATGCAGACTAAGATAGGGAGGAGTATATAGGCTCATATACAGTGTCTGCTCTCAGGGTTTTTAATATCTGGTCCTCTTTACAGTCTTAAAAATGATTGATCTTTTGTTTAGGTGGGTCATATTTACTGGTATTTACTACTTTAGAAATTAAAATTAAAATTGAAAATATCAGTTTATTTAAAAATAACATTAAGAAACCAAACCATTGCATGCTAATATAGATACCATTTTTATGACAAAAATAACTATGTTTTCCAAAACGAAAACAGACCAGCAAGAAGAATGGCATTGGTTTACCTTTTTGCAGATCTTTTTTTTTTTTGAGTTGGAGTCTCACTCTGTTGCCCAGACTGGAGT